CTTTGGTAAACTGAACCGAACTCCCAACTGGTCAAGTCCAATAAAGTATCTAGAAATCCGAGAGGATTATTGTGTAATAATGACGTGGACAGATCCAAGTGGATCCTACCGAAAATGTGTGGGATCCGACCCCAACAATAGGCTAGAGAAATTGGGAGTTTCTATGTTTTCAAACTTCTTCCACGGGTTCGGTTTTTGTGTTTTGCTTGAAGGCAAGCAAAAAGCTAAGTATGAGGGAGTTGATATAACACGGATTTTACCGGTTTTAACCGTGATTTACGTGTTAGTTTTAGAGTCTTTTTGTTGTTTCTAGAGTCTTTTTGAGTCTTTTCAGGTTTTTCCACGTTCGGGACGAAATTTGAGAAAAGAATCATTCTGGAGCTAAACCGGAGAATTGGAGCTGAAGAGACGAAATCGGATTCGAACCAAGGCATTGGTGTCGACCGACACCCTTGGTGTCGCTCGACACCATACGCGGCCCAGCAAGAAGTCTCGACGGTTTAGAGTTTTAAAGCCCGCAGAATTTACCCAGAAGACTTCCCTATTTGCAATTTTAGTCCCTGCACGTTTTTGGAGACTTTAAAAATAGTTTTTAGGGTTTTTCAGTTTCTGTACCCGGCAACTTTTGTCTTTTGCTTCTGTAAGTCTCTGAGCTTGAACCCTTTGGAAGATAATTGGAGATAGCTACTTTCAGAGATTTCAATACCTTGTTAGAGAGAAGATTTATTCTAAACTTTTTTCTTCTTTTGATTTCTATTTGCAATTTATTCAACATGTTTTCTGTTTCATTAATCATGTCTGAGTAATCTCCCTGTTAGGTTTAGGGATTCTCATTAGGGATTTAGATGAATTAGTAAATCAATTACCTGTTAGGATTAATCTATAGAGTTCTTCATCTAAGTTGTTTTTAATGCTTGTTCTAGAGTAGCTAACTAGAACCTGATCATAGGATAATAGGTATTTGATCCGAGAGGGCACCTGTTACCTGAACTACTTTAGATGAGCCTGGTTTATAGGTGTGTAATAAGAATCGGCCTATCTACTAAGGTGAACATATCGAACCTGATATTAGGCTTGTTAGTTATCACATCGAGAGGTGGTTAGCTATTCATTAGTGATTCGAGTTCAAGAATGGTTCATTAAATAATCCTAATTACTTTGCTAGATTTACTAATAGTTTATTTCCTGAGAATTTCCCTAAACCTGACGCTTTAATCTATTGATCTTTTCACTTGAAATCATTGCTTGCTATTGTTTTATTTTAATTTTAATTATTTTGTTTAGCATAATTTCGAGACTTATAACTTATTGTGTGAACAAAAGAATTTTGTGGAATTCGACCCTTAAGTGCTGCAATAGATCTCTTATTTGAGAGAGTAGGCTTCAGGATTCAATTTGACTCTTATCAAAAGCTATCACCAATTAGATGGCTAGGTAGGAACTACCTAAGTGAGGAGCTCAAAGGTATCTAATTGACGAGCTCAGAACTAAGAGTTGGCAATCTGGATAATGTCTAAAATATAAGCTAAAAGCGATCAATTGACGTAGTGGCGAGCTCAAAGATGTTGAACAAAGGAGCTTGGAGCTTACGTAGTAAAGAGCTGGAAAAATTCTACTGAAGAGCTGAGCGCTGACGAAGCGATGAACCAAAGGCTATCAGGTCGATGAGTTCGGAGCTGTCTAATAGACAAGCCGATAGCTAACAAAATTTGCGAAGCGATAAGCTATCAAGATGACGAGGTGAGAGTTGTCAAATAGATGACCTATGATTTCACAAAGTAACAATCTGAATATTATCAAGATGACAAGGTGAGAGTTGTCTATCAAATGACCTGAGGCTTCTCAATGCGACAAACTCACAATTATCAAGGTCGGGCCTGACTAACGGTTGATGACTATTCACGAAATGATAAACTTAAATTTATCAAAAGGTCGAGGTCGAAATTGTCTAACAGACGACATGTGGGCTCGTGCACTGATAAGCTGAATGTCGTCAAAGAGACTATATATGATTTCACGGAGTGATAAGCTAAAAGCTATCAAGATGTGGATGTCGGAGTTGTCAAGCAAAGGACCTGGGCGTTCGTGAATCAATAAGGTGATTAACAGTCGACCTGATAATTCGTGATTGATAAATTAATATCAGGAAGACGAGGTTAAAGTTGCGTAGTAGACGACATGAGGTTCTTGAGTCGATAAGTTTAAAGTTACCAGAGTGACGAGATTGAATCTTTCTAAGAGACGATCTAATATTTCACTAAGTGATATGCTGAAAATTATCGAGGTTATCGAGGTCGGACCTGATTAACAGTCGACCTGATAATTCGTGAAATGACAAACTGAAAGTACTAAGAGGGACAAGGTCAAAGTTGTCTAGCAGACAACCTATGGGTTCATGAATCGATATGCTGAAAGTTGTCAAAGTGACGAGATCGGATCTGTCTAAGAGATGACATATCCGATCTAAGATTTCACTAAGTGATATGCTAACAGTTGTCAAGATTACCAAGGTCGAACCTGATTAAAAGTCGACCTGGCAATTCGTTAAATGATAAACTTAATGTTCTCGACATGACGAGGTCAAAACTGTCTACCTGATGACCTGAGACTTCAAAAAGTGAGGTCCTGAAAGCTAGCAGGTTGTCGAGGTCAAAGTTGACCAGTAGATGATCCGTTAGGAGTTATTCACGTTAGTATATGGAGATTTTTACGTGACGAGTCGAGAGTTTGGCAATGTTTGAGTGACAAGTTAAGACTGGTCAAGCTAAGGATTATTAGCTATAAACTAATAGCAGCTCGATGTCTAAACGACGAGCGGTGGTAGTGCTTGTGATTGACTCTCTCAATCTGTGGGGCGATTGACTCTCTCAATCCGTGGAGAACTAGACTTGTTTGAATCACACAAACTATCCTAATCCTACAATCTCAAGAATCAAATGAATCTCTTAAATGAAACTTAAAGACAAACTTTAAACAAAGACACTCTTTGAATAAAAACAAACTTGTATATTTCTTAGATGATTGAAAGGTATCCTTCTACAAAGGACAAAATGAGCTTTATATAGAGCTGTTACATGAGTAAACAAACGTTCTAAAAGGTTTAACATAGAAACAAAAGATTCAAACTTAATGCATATGGCCGTTGGACGAGATTGTGGTGTATCGGCCAAATATGAAAACTAGGAGTGACGACTTGTATCTTGAGAGCTTTGGCGTGAAAATATGATGTCTTGGGACGTCTAGAGGCATTGAATCCGTGGTCAAGTGGTAGCTGTAGCAAAGATATACCCGTTGGGGAGTTAAGGCATAAAGTGTGAACGCGGCCATATAAGGAAAGTGTGAGCATAAGGAGATCCTTCTGATCTGGTGCGTTCTGGTGCATGTAGAGATGTTAAATGACTCTCCTAGATGGTCTAAGATCTCTTCTGAATGGTTTAATGTCTCTCCTGGTCGCCAAAGTTTGGTTTGCAAGTAATTAAACCCGTCAGCCTCCAAATAAGGCAAGCTGAGAATCATCTGGTTTAGAAACTTAATATCTCCTAAACCAAAATCGTTTTTCACTTGATTCCAATTCGAACAGCTCCTATGATGAGTTAAGAATGTAGGAAAATTCACGTCGTAGCTTAAATCCTTCTGGTCTGGTCGGAATCCTCCACTAAGTAGCTGTTGGTCTCCATCGGGTTCATTGGAAGTTTGCTGACTTGTAACTTGAATATCTTCTTCATGTGGAAAGAGTTTGAACCAATTCCACCTCTCGGTAATCCCTTGATGAGTTAAGTTTCTGGAGTAAGTTGATTTGTAGCCTAACTTCTCCTGGTTGGGTTGATATGCCCCAATAAAGACACATATGTCTTTGGTACGCTCATGTTTGTTCTCTCCGGGGTTCTTGGTCGGTTGGTCGGTGTCTTCTCCATTCTCTTTTCTTGATGATGACTTGATGTCCTCATCATACTCTCCCTCTTGAAAAGGTTTCGACCTGGAAACTATATCTTCTGCACCAAATGAAAGCAAGTTAGCTTTCACTCGTTTTTGTGAGCTTAGGATCTTACCTTGATATGCTTAAGGTTTGGTGATGTGAGGTTCATCAGGTGGCTCTCCTTTGAGCAGATAAGATAGGGTTACGCCTCTGCTCTGCTCTGGTGCATGGCTCCTCTTCCTTGTAGCCTTTACCCATTTGGTAACTTCGGTCTTGTTCAATTCACCTTTGGTGTTGATGCCTCTTTGTTCTCAGCTTGGTCTAACAACAAGTTCTTCTCTAGTGGAGCGTCTTTATGTTTAATCTCCTTAGGACCTGAAATAATCTCAACTCTTTGGGAAAGAAACAAGTGCGTTATACAAGAACTAGAATTTTCCAAACTACTTTGAGCTAGACTATCTTTTGATTCTGAATTTATATCTATAGCCTTTTCAATTTTTCTAGTGGGACAATCAGCAAAATGTCCTCTTATATGGCATCTATAACAATTCATTTCTTTTGATTTAAATGGTTTAAAAGACTTACGTTGCTTTTGTTCACTTTGTGGTTCAAGCAATGGACTTGGGCTTTGCTTTTGAGCTATGACTTGTTGAATTGGATTTTGTTGCACCTCCTTGGCTCTAATGGGTTCGTTAGCCTCTGTTTTCACCTTTAAAGTTTTTGGAGTCACGTTCTTTGGCTTGGGACAACAAGCTTTCCTTGGCTTAATTTTTGGAGGCAGCATTGTTGCTAGAATCCATCTTCTTGGCATAGGGTTCTCGTAGATTCGCGAATAGTATTGACGCATGTGGTCAACATCTCTCTCAAACTCATCACCCATGAGCTGCTTCATCTCCTCCCAAGTGGCAGCTAGTTCATCATCCTCAAGTCGTTGGTATGCATCTCGATCCCAATGCCTAAAAGCATCTTCGGTGAGAGTTTCCTCCGCAATGGCCGCCTTCTCTTCCTCAAGAATTTGGTTTGAAGCAAACCAATTTTGCATGTCTCTTTCCCATCTTAAATATGCCTCTGGTCCTTGGCTATGACCTGAATAAGAGATATATTTCATGGTTCATAATCATCATCTCTTCCAGCCTCACTTACGGCTTCCTCCTCTTCGGTGATGTCTCCTTCATTATCCGTTGAATGTTTCCATGAATCATCTTCTTCTGCTTCATCTTCACTCTCCTGGGCATACTCTCTTTCGTGTTATAGTTCCATCTCTTCACGTTCTGATTCACTTCCACAGCTTGCATTGACCTCAGCCTCATGGTGCCAAGTTTCTTCACCATATTGCTTGGCTTCTCCTAAACTGATTTGTGAACCAGTTTCGTCACACCATGGCTTGTCTCTTTCATATGGCTCCACGAGTGATTCTTCATCATTAAATTCTTCTTGTTCGGCTTCATATTCGTGGATCCTTTCTTCTGGATTTATTGGAGAATCATCCTTGTGTCTCCATGAGTTGTCGTCTTGGTAAGACTCCATGTAATGGTCTGCTTCATTACCGGATGTTACTTCTTCTTGCTCATCCTCTTTTTCTTCTAAACTGATTTCAGAATCAGTTTCCTCACACCATGGTTCAGTCTCATAGTCATCTCCTCCTTCCCACGAATAGTGGCTTGAGTCCTCACCCCAATCAATCTCGGAGATATTGAACTCCTCTTCTGAACCTTCATCACCATAGTCCATGGTTTGTACCTCACAAACAAAGAAGGAAGCGACAAATCAAAATCAAATCACAAAAAATGGAAAGAATAAATCAAGACAAAGTAAAAAGGAAAACTTCTTATTTTATTTTCTGTTTTAATTAACAAAAAAATAAGCAAATAATTTTTTTGACTAGATAAATTCGAAAATAAATAACAAGAAGGTCTAAAATTCAGTTTCTATTTTCTTTTCTGATTTTCAACAATTAAAATTACTAAAATTAATTAAAATAACAAAACACGAATTTTTATTTGGTTTTAATGATTTAAATGGAAAAAACACAAAATACTGAAAATAAAGGAACTTTTTATGGTTTCTTTTTTTTTTAATGAGATAAAATAAAATGAAAACAAAATTTTCTTTTTGATTTTATGAAAGTAATGAAGCAAATAAACAAGAATAAAAATGCAAAACAATTTTTATGGGTTTTTAAATTTTATGAAAATGAAATAACAAAAAAACCGAAAACAAAAATCGAAAAGATATAAGTTGAAAAGATACAACCTGATGGATAGGAGCTTTTGAAGCTCTGATACCAGATGATATAGGATCGGGAATCACTCCACAATCTTATGAACAAACGGTGATCAAAAACTGATCAACAAAGCTTTGGCGGAAGATGGAAACGTAGGTAGAGGCGGTGGTGGTGCTTGTGATTGACTCTCTCAATCTGTGGGGCGATTGACTCTCTCAATCTGTGGGGCGATTGACTCTCTCAATCCGTGGAGAACTAGACTTGTTTGAATCACACAAACTATCCTAATCCTACAATCTCAAGAATCAAATGAATCTCTTAAATGAAACTTAAAGACAAACTTTAAACAAAGACACTCTTTGAATAAAAACAAACTTGTATATTTCTTAGATGATTGAAAGGTATCCTCCTACAAAGGACAAAATGAGCTTTATATAGAGCTGTTAAATGAGTAAACAAACGTTCTAAAAGGTTTAACATAGAAACAAAAAATTCAAACTTAATGCATAGGGCCGTTGGACGAGATTGTGGTGTATCGGCCAAATATGAAAACTAGGAGTGACGACTTGTATCTTGAGAGCTTTGGCGTGAAAATATGATGTCTTGGGACGTCTAGAGGCATCTGGTTTGGAAAATTAATATCTCCTAAACCAAAATCGTTTTTTACTTGATTCCAATTCGAACAGCTCCTATGATGAGTTAAGAATGTAGGAAAATTCACGTCGTAGCTGAAATCCTTTTGGTCTGGTCGGAATCCTCCACTAAGTAGCTGTTGGTCTCCATCGGGTTCATTGGAAGTTTGCTCACTTGTAACTTGAATATCTTCTTCATGTGGAAAGAGTTTGAACCAATTACACCTCTCCGTAATTCCTTGATGAGTTAAGTTTCTGGAGTAAGTTGATTTGTAGCCTAAATCCTCCTGGTTGGGTTGATATGCCCCAATAAAGACACATATGTCTTTGGTATGCTCATGTTTGTTCTCTCCGGGGTTCTTGGTCGGTTGGTCGGTGTCTTCTCCATTCTCCTTTCTTGATGATGACTTGATGTCCTCATCAGAATAGGAAGCATTCTGGACACTGGCTCGAGATCCGTCTTCAGGCTGGCATCAGTGCGCAAATGCACATTACAAGCGAGAACGGTCATCTTGGCGCAATTAAGATCAACATATAAGGCAACACAATGTTTTTTTTATCGAAGTTGAATGGTAGATAGAGATAATAAACTTCAATGAATAGCTCAGCACGGTCCAACTGCCCAACGCCAGAAACAACATCAATCAAAGCTATGGGAAACTGAAAATCTTGAGGAACATGAGCTTTGGAAAACTTCGGATATAGGCGGTACAATTAAGAGACAAACTTCGTATCAAGCACATCAACACGAAGTTTTTCGCCATCTACATCGTCTGTCCTGAGAATGTGCCTGCTGAACTTTAAAAGCGCGTCCATGACCTAAAAGCAAACTATTGAATTAACATAGTTACCGGGAAATTAATAATTTATATGGTAACAACATTATCATGCAACAAATAACCTTGTTCGCCATTGGTTTTTTTCTCTCAATTAACTCGAGGACATCCTTGATGGCAATAGTGACATCCCCGACTAGAGAAGTAGAGCTACAGAAAAGATAATAATAATGTTAGCAAACTCTGATCAAACAAAAGAAAGTGAACGGCTAACTAGCTAACATAAGAGGGCAGTAAAAAAAAAACATAAGTGCTTTAAGTTTATTCATGGAATAGTTAAAACAGTCTTCAGGATCTAAAGATCCACTACTAAGATTGGCGATGGGAGAAGGGTGTCCAACCAATAACTTCGTTTTCTTGTCAAACTGATAGCGACCGTCTAACTTGCTAGATATGGTCTTAAGCCTTTTACTCCTTCTTCTTCCAGGATTACCAACAACACTACTCTGGGATGGAACATCAGCCTGCAAAAGTAGAAGTTATGAAACTGACATTTTTACAATAAGGAATGATTGTAGATGCATCTTAAGGGACACACCTTTTCTGGAACCAAAACTTTGGTTGATTTAGTTATAGAAATTGGGGCAACCACCGGAGAGGGTGAATCCTGACAAAAAAATAACAAAATTAGTAATGATCTAACCCTAATAAAGTTAATGACTAAGGGATAGATAATGAGGAAGAGATTTCCAAAACCTGAGGAGGGTCAATTGCCATCTGCGAAACACCTTTACTTGGCGAATCCTATAAACCGATAACTAATTGATTAGTAAACTAAGAAATTTATTAATGGGTAATATATGATATCTTATTATATAAAGTATGGTTTTCAAAGTTAATAACTCACGAGATCGTGACACGTGTCAAATTTTTCGATATGAGATTTTGACATGTGTCAAATAAAATTTTCCTTTTTTAAAAAAAAGCAAGTAAAAAGATAATTATAAATGTAAATAGTTTTAAAATATAAAAAGCTAATTATATGGAAATTATACATATATTTCCATAAGAGTTTTTGTCATCTAGCAAACAAAAATTTTGTTTTTAAAAGATAATTATAACAAAATTTTAAATTTAAAGAGTTTTAAAAATATAAAAAGATTATAATAAAAAAACATATATATAAGGAATTTATATGTATATTTCCATAAAAATTGAAATTATAAAATTATGCTAAACCTTTTATTTATAAGTTACTAAGTGTACAAGAAAAAGATTTAAAATTAGAAATAATTAAGAAATAATACAATCAGTTATTAATCTTATAAGAAAAAGATAGTAAATAGTCACCTTTATATAAAAAAATAGATTATCTCATATTTTCTCGTCAAGCAAACTAATTTCTTAACGATGTAATGTCATATAAATTATAAAAATATATTAATTTTGTTTTTAAAAGATAATTATAACAAAATTATAAATTTAAACAGTTTTAAAAATATAAAAGATTATAATAAGAAAACTATACATATATATAAGGAATTTATATGTATATTTTCATAAAAATCAAAATTATAAAATTATGCTAAACGTTTTATTTATAAGTTACTAACTGTACAAGAAAAAGATTTAAAATTAGAAAAAAATTTAAGAAACTATACAATCAGTTATTAATCCTATAAGAAAAAAGATAGTAAATAGTCACCTTTATATAAACAAATAGATTATATCATATTTTCTCATCAAGCAAACTAATTTCTTAACGATGTTATATCATATCAATTATAAAAAAAATATTTCGAATCACGATGTTTCTCTAAAAATAGCATGTGATTTTCAGATCTAATAAATATTTGGCAATTGAGGCAAATTAATAATTATGAACGGCGATAGACATAAATTAGAGTTATTGTCGGAGAGGCTTGGTCTAATGTCGGAGGAGATAAAGAAGGTGGTGTAATAAGAGAAATTGGGAAAAGAGGATAAGAGGCGGTAACAGTGGTGTTGGTGTTGATGATGGTGGTTCAAGTTTGGTGGTGGTGGCGGCGGTAAATATTGATAAAGGTGGTGAGTCGGAATTAGCGAGATTCAGTATTGATGGTGGTGGTGATTGTGATAGTAGTGAGATTCAGTTGTGGTGGTGGGTCAGAGTAGTAAGACTCGGTAGTGATGCCCGACGAATGCGAGAAATTAAGATAGGGAAAAAAATAAAATAAAGATATGGTGGTGAAGAAATCCGACGAGAGGGAGAGAATGAGAAAGAAAGAGGAGTTCGAGTAAAAATAAGAGAAATCTAAAGAAAAATAGATAATGTTTAGTCTTATATTTTTTCTTAATTTTTATTAGTCTTAAGTTATTTAGTGTATATTCTCTAATTCCTTATAAAGTTTTTTTTCTTTCTGTTGAGGATATTTCATATTATCAAGTAAATCTACATGACATGGATATAAACGGTCTCATATGTTCTCTTCTTTTAGTGTCACACTTTTATTATGACGTCAAACTTTTCTAAAAAAAATATATATTTACGTAACTCATACTATATGTTTACATATTATACATATATCGTTCATATGTTTACGTAACTATATAATTTTATCTTTTTTTATTGTCATAGTTTTGTTTCCATCTTGCCCACATTGAAATTATAAGATGTAACACACTCTTCCGATGGATGTAAATAACTTATTAAAATTCAATAATACAACATATGAATATTTATGACTTCATAACTTATAATAAACAAAAAATTATATAATTTTATAAATAAACCAACATTTATATTAGATGATTTAATAATTAGTATAACATAACTACAAATAATGTTTTATATTGCGCAGGAGCTATAGCATACATGGAGCCAGCAGGGAGAGCCTTCTTGAATAGCAAAAGCCTTAAGCTTCAGACTAGTTCTAACCCCGATCCTTCTTCGGCGGATCTGTCCTTGCCTCTTTCCTGATACAAAAACTTGCTTTTCATTTTATATAGATGCAAAAGTTAGCAATCCTATTTTCCTTCGTAAGAGCACATCTTACATCGCAAACTTTCTCTTTATATACCGACGATTTCTATCAAAATGGCATCAATCTCACAATGTGGTTTGAGCAATTCTATGACCAGCAAAGACTAGAATCTAATAAATCTATATTTAGAAATAATTATGCTGCATTTTCTAAAATATATATATATATAGAATTTTAGTTAAGCTTACAAAAATAAAATAAAAATATTAAGAATGATAATTTCGACTGGCAACCCGTGAAATGCACGGGTCCATATCTAGTGTCATTATAAAATAAGGCAAATAGTTTACCTGAATAGGTTTATTTTCCTTATGTACAACCTCTTGACTTTCCAAATCCTGCAACAGATAACATAATAATTATGGAAATAATAATAATATCACCTAGTAAACGTAATATTGGAATAAATTTACGAACTTCTTCATCTCCTCTAGTAGAGTCGGAATGGTCGCTTAGACCGGCCAAAAAATTAAAATACCAACAATAAATATAAGAGGGCTTGGCGAAATCTTTAAAACTTTTTTGCAAAATTAGACAAACCTCTGAAGAAACCGCACTGGCAAACTCACTTTCAACCTCCTGCTGGGTTTCCTGAAAAAAAAAAAGATAACATTAAAGAAAAACGACGAATATAAAAAAAAAAATTAAATATATTTTATATGACTGACTAACCGGCAGGTTATCATCTGCATCTCTGATCTCATCACCACCCTGCAACAAAGCAAAAAATGTTAGAGAGGGTTATGGTAACAAATGGAATACTAACTAACTACGTAATTGCAAGGTAACAAATATACTATGCAACAAAAACATATTAGAGAAAAATGAGGAAAATAAAAAAAAATAACAAAAAAAATTTCATATTAGCGACTAACCGGCAGGTTATCCTTTCCATCTCTGATCTCATCACCACCCTGCAATAAAAAGAAAAAATGTTAGAGAAGATTAGGGTAACAAATGGAATACTAACTAACTACGTAATTGCAAGCTAACAGATATACTATGCAACAAAATTTAAACCTCGGGGATAGAACCATCTTTGCTAACTTCGGCAGGGTTGAGTGTCACACCAACCTAGAGAAATAAAGGAAAACAATATATGGGTAGAGAAAGATATGTTATAGATACAGACACAGTATATCCTAAAAAAAATTGACCTTACACTGGATGGAACGATATTATGCGATAACACAATTATTAGAGACATAATTATAAAATAATTAAAAGATTAATAACTACCTCAGAATTAGCATTGATGAGGGTCTGAGAGCACTGAAATGATGGAAGAAAACATAATATATGTTAGTAGGTAACGATAAATTGCGAACGAAATATATGTTATACGGTAACAATGTTAGTACTATAATGTTATGAAATATAAAAAAAAAATAACACCTACCTCAAGATTAGCATTGTCTGGGGTCCCATTGTCCTAGAAGCAAAGGATCAAAAACAAAAACTGTTAGGGGGTAACGAGGGTAATAACATTGGACTGTATATATAGTAAACGGTAACAATTATATTAGAGGATTATTTATGGAGATTATGAAACCAACCTCGGGATTATCATTGGAGAGAGTTGGATTGCCCTCGAAAAGATGAGAAACATAAAAGATATTTTATAGGGTAACACAAATAATGTCAATAATCTGGAAATTGATGAATTATCCGTTAATATAATTATTAGTAGGGAATAAATCGAATATCGAAAATAGTCTACAATACCTCTTTACAAACTTTGTCTACCGACGCATTGACCTAAAGAAAATGATAATTAAAAAAATATGACAAATCATTTGAAGTTGTAATTACGAATAAAAATAAAGCAAATAATCATGAAGTTGTTAAGTTCAACACCGCCTACCAAAGGATCCTACAAAAGAAATTATGAATTATTAGTTAACCGGTAAAATGAATATTAGAAATAACCGTAATAGACATCAAAGATGGAAACAATAACCACTACAATAAGTTGCTTACAACTTCATATCTAGATAACGGTAACAATATCTACTTAACATTTTTGAAGTACATATTTGCTCAAGCCAATCGGGTCGGGTTTTAATTGATTTTGATCCGGAAATCTTTGATTCGGATCTTTCCTATATTTTATAAATTTTGTAGTTATTTTTGGTAAAATTCTCTACAAATAAAATCAAGACATTATTGATTGCATTGAAATTGAATTTTAATTATTTGTTGGTAAGATTTTCTATAGATAAGGAAATTAGTTATGAATATTTAATGCTAATATAACATCACTAAATCGTATAATCGGTTTTTGGTATGATTTTAGAGATAAAAAAATATTTTTTGACGATTTGATGCTACATAACACAATTAAATTGAAATAAAAACTTTATTTTCTTCAATTGTTATAAAATACATATTTTTTTTTAAAAAAACGAGATATTTATAGAAACGTTCAAAATCCTATATTTATGGTAAAGAATTAATTATTGTGAAGATACGGAAAACCCACATTTTTTGAGAATATTCTGTAGAATAATTATATTTATCAAAAAACTCCATAAAATCTTTGCAAATATATCTTCCCAAAATTTTAGGAAATATTAAATTTTATATTGTAAGCTAAACGCCGAAACCTAAGGACAATACACTAAACTTCTCCCTTATATAAACTGATCAAGTTTTTCATTCATCACCATAGACAAACACTTTGGTTTTTTCATTCCAAAGCAAAATAAAAATGATCATTTTCGTGTTACTGTTCTTTAAAACAATTAATTGTTACTTAATATTTTTTATGCTCCATCTTGCACTAAAAGATTAGTTTGTAGTATTTTGATTTTATTTTCAAATGTCCATTTTCTTTTTGCAAACGTTTTCATGTTTCTTCTCCAAATTCATTCCTTTTCTTCTTCTTTCTTTAGGGTAAGAAGACAATGATTTCTTTTTATACATAAAAGAAGATTCTTATTCTTAATTTTCATTATTCTAATGTTATCATTTTAAAATCAATTAGGTTTTATCAATAACAGGTTTTTATATGGTTAATTTTTTTTTACTAAATAACATCATATTTTTTATATATTTGTAATTCATGTTTCATGTATTATGTTTTCTGATTTTGTTTCTATGTATGTTTTGGTTTTCACTAATTTTATATCTAAATTCTGATATTTTGTAAATGTGTAATGTTCCACAGGTCTAAATTCTAATTTCACTAATGTCCTACAGGTCAATTTACGGGTTAAATCTTAAAAACCAAAAAGTATAATCATATAACTTTAATACTAGATAAAATTTATTGTAAAAATCCAATATTTTTATATATAAAATAAGTTTTTATAAGTTTTAATCTCCATCCAAATGTGTAATTGCAATATTAAGTTATTCAATTACATATGTTATACATGTTAAATCTAAAAATACCAAAAGTTTAAGGTTAACACATATAACTTTAATACTAAATAGCAAAATACCAAAATATAACATTATTATTATTTTATATATATATATATATATATATATATATAATATTTTTCCGGTTAAATACTAAAATTTTGGAAAATTACATATAAAAAGAGCCCAAAATAATATACAAAATAAATACAACAAATTCATCATCTTAAAACAAAATTAAAATTAATTAAATATTTTAACCCGCGGTACACCGCGGGTCATATCCTAGTTATTGCTTTATAACTGATGGGAGATTAAAAAAAGAAAATCTACCTCGTCATTAGCTGTGTTGATTGTCGCATCGCCCTGACCAACTTTATTGACTGCTGAATCGCCGCGAAGCAAAGGAGAAAAACATAATCAAAATAGGGAAAAGTAGTAAATAACTTTTTTAAACAGATTAACTATTGAATATATATGTTAGCAACTAACATCCAGACGGTCCTGCAAAAGAATATAAGTAAATTGTAAAACAAAAGGTAACACTATTACGTAAATAACAATAATATTAGACACTAACCTCTACGTTAACATCAATATTGTTTACCCCGACATGGCTTGGTGACGTTTCAAGCTATAGAGATAGAATAATGGTCAGTCAAATCTATATAAAACATTAACAAAATGGGAGATACCATGAATTTGAAAGACTAACCTTACTGGTTGATTAGAGGAATTCCAGTTACCATAGATACCATCGTTTGCAAACTCTTGGCTACCTTCCTTGGACGACTGCAATGAGAAGGATTAAATGCAAGTTAGTGGATAACATAGAAAATAAACTATTTAAAAGTTATCGGGTAAAGCTGTCCAGGATTAGTTAATATATTCGTTGTTCAGTCAGAGCCGAGATATATAACTTGATAAGAAAAAGGGGTTATAATAGATATTATTCATTGCAGATAACACTTAATTTAGCTTGCTAACCTAGAGGTTATCGAATCTGTTTACTTCCTCATCAACATGATTCGCTTGAACATCTGCTGCCCTTGAACCACTGGAATCACCGGGGAAAATCCCATTATAAAATGCAGCAATTCCATAAACAGAACTATTGAGACTCAATCCATGTTCCGGGCACTTGGGTGGAACGATTGGCAGTGTTGTTCACGCGAGAGGAATGATGTTTTGGCCGATGGAGGGGTGAGAGACTGACACCATCCTCATCTCCATCTGAGTTGTCTAGAGGATTGGTCTAGGGCACATGACCTTCTTTCCCATTCTCAGCAGGGACTTCTTTCCCATTCTCAACATATATCAAAGTATTTGAAAGGAACCAATCAGCAACACCTTTTATGATCTTCTTGTACTGGGCAACAAATTTAGCATCTAACATACGGGAGAGAGCGTTCATGTCAAACGAAACAGCAGCGTCCTCCTCATTAGGGGGGGATTGATGGGTCTTTCGAAGCCCAGTTGGGTTTTTTGGGATTCTGCCCTGCTTTGAGGATTTCCGGACACGACCACCTTTCCATATTGCAGATCTTTTTTGTTTTTTGGGAGCTACCACCACTTCAGAGGGGGTGCAACTACCAGGAAACATATCATTATTGAACTTGAATCTTTGGTTCGCCAAATTTACAACCGTATCTACCCGCGGATCTACTTCGTCATCTGACCACGAAATATCTTGGGCAGCATCAAGTACGGCTTTGGGAAGGATGATAGGATCGACATGAGTCTAATAATAAAACAGGGTAACTAAAAAATGAGCAACGGACAACAACATTTAGTAGATAAAAAATGAAAACAAAGTATAAATTTATCGGGTAAGAAAGAATTGATCAGGTACTAAGACGTTTATCACCTGGCACTTAATATCAAGATCTTTGGCGTTACCAGGCTTCAAGGGGACCACCTGGCGATGAATTATTTCAACAGTCTCTTCATCCGACTCAGAACCAACTGTCTCCTCAGACACAGGACCTTCTTGAATAGCGGGGGCAGCTTGAAGCGGCGAGCTGTCTTCTCTTGTTATCAATGCCTCTGATGCCATAGCTGGAAGCAGAATTCTCAATAAGACTTGTTGCTTCGCTGGGTGTCCTTGTGGTGAAATTTCCATTGCTTGCTCCATCGAGTATGACTTGGTAACGATAATCAATGCCCTTGAAGAATATGCCAAGTAGACGAATTTCAGTGAATCCATGATGCGGACAATTCCTCTGATATGATCCGAATCTTAACCAAGCTGTCTTGAAAGACTCTGTAGGACCTTGAGAAAAGGAAGAAATCTGCAATCTCACTTCCTCGGACATTGATTCATCATAAAAGTGGATTAAGAACGTGTCCTTAACTTCCTGCCAAGTAGTTAGAGATCCTGGTCTCAACTGTCTAAGCCAGCTATTTCCTCTTTCTCCAAGAGAGTATGGAAAGAGTTTGCAGAGCAAGTAGTCAGGTTGAACGCCTTCTGCTTTGATGCTGGAAACTATGTCTTCGAATTTCTCGATGTGATCAAAAGGCAATTGACCTTCTAAACCGTCGAACTGGTTATTAGAAACGAGATCATAATACCATGGTTTGAACAAAAAATCAGCGCTTTCAGGTGGAGGTGGTCTGATCGCTGATCGATTGGAGTAGAAGGGATCAGGTATGTTGTAATCAGCAAACGTCATTGGCCTGTTGCCCATGTGGTGTCGATCGACACCCAGCTGGTGTCGGTCGACACTCTCGTCAAAATCGTCCATCATTGTTGGTGTGATTGAATTCCTGAGGCACCTGAAATAGAAGAAACCAAAGAAAGAAAATCATGTGAGTAACAAAAAAAATAAAAGCTTAGACTAAATTCTACACCTAATCTAATGGTGAAGCAAAGAGAACTTCGGCAACGGCGCCAAATTTGATGTGAGTCAAATTAAGACCTAAGACTACTCTCTCAAATAAGAGATCGTGTGTAGCACTTTAGAGTCGAATTCCACAAAGCTCTCGTTTTCACACAATAGACTAACAGGTTTTGAATTAAGCTAAACAAGTAAAGATTGCAAATTAAAATAAAACAAGTAATTAAAATTGAGATGTAAATCAGATGGGAAAAACGTCAAGCTTAGGGATTTCTCAGGAAATAAACTTATAGTAAATCTAGCAAATTATTTAATTAGGATTATTTCCGTTCTAGAACTCAAAACACTAATGAATAGCTAACCACCTCTCGATGCACTAACTAACTAATCTAATATCAGTAATTCCACCTCTCGATGCGAATTCCTAGATCTAGACTAGCATTAAACTCAAGTTTGATATGTTCACAAATTCTCCTAGACCAACTCTCGATGCATCTAGAAATATTTGCTCATCTAAGGTAGTTCTAGTAACAGGTGCCCTCTCGGATCGAATACCTATTATCCTATAATCAAGTTCTAGTTAGCTACTCTAGAACTAGCATTAAGAACAACCTAGATGAAAAACTCTATAAATTAATCCTAACAGGTAATCGATTTACTAATTCATCTAAATCCCTAATGAGAATCCCTAAACATAACAAGCAAACTACTCAGACATGGAGATTGAAACAAACAACATGTTATGAATAGAAAGCATAAAGAGATTCAATAAAAGAGATGAGTTAAGAAAGATCTTCTCTGGAGGAGCTCTCTCCAATTATCTCCCAAAGGGTTCAAGCTCCCAAAAAGTACAATAGAATAATAGAATGAGAGATGTCTAAAACAAAACCCTAAAAACGTGCAGGGACTTCTTTGAAAATAGGGAAACGTTCTGGGGCGATTCTGCAAATCTTCATAACTTCAAAGAGACTCGAAATTGCATTGCCGTAAGATATTGGTGTCGACCGACACTAGGGATGGTGTCATTCGACACTTGCACGTATTTTCGTCTCCGGACTACTCGCGCAGCATAACTTCTCGATTTTGTTCCAGAATGATCCATAATCTCCAAATTGGTCCCGAACGTGTAAAAACCTGAAAAGACTCAAAAACACTCTAGAAACAACAAAAAGACCCTAAAAACAATACATATATCACGGCTAAAATCGGTAAAATCCGTGATATATCAAAGGTCAAGATCTACCATCTAGAAAACCCAGAGAAAAAAAAAACTAAGAACAACAAAAGTGACATAGATCCGAAAACATTGACCAAAAACTAGGTTTAATTGAGATACTTACTTGGACGAACTAATCGTAACAAGCCACAACTCAATCGAAGAATCGATAAGAATATCGGAGAAAAAAAAAAAGGAAATTCGGAGAGAGACGAGAAACAAAATTACAAACATTGAGAACACTGAGAAAAAAAATAAAAAGCAGTTGATATAAAACCGAAAAAACACGACCTTTCGATTTCGCACCGTTCTCATAATTAATAGAACAACTATTCCCAAAGAATTCTCAAAAATTAAATCTTTGGGAGAGTTATGATATCTCGGTTCTGACACACGTCTACTATTCTCTCATATATATCTCTTATTGATTGATAGGCGGGTAGGGGTTTATTAGACATTATATTGCTACAGACGACATCCAAATAGTAGATAGTCCTGTCAGTTAATTTACAAGTCCTCTGTGGTCACCGCGTATAGATTCCCTAAATTCATTAACATGGTGTCCCGATTGAACTCGTTATGCTACCTCATTTTATTAAAACCTAAAGTATACACAAGAAGAAAAAATCGAACACTGCTACACACATTACCACACACACACATTAGAGACTGTCAGCTTAAAATTTCAGAAACTACAATATGTACAAAGTATTTGGAAATTTTTATATCAAAAGTATACATGTTGATGTGTTAAATTTTCTTAAACTATATTCAAACTATTTGGAGGTTTTGTATAAATTTTGATGTGTTACATTTTCTGACAATTTCCAAATGCACGGGAACAATACTACAAGATCAAATTCAGGATCAAACACCAAGTTTAACCTTTTTTTTTTTTTTTAACCAAGTTTAACCTTAACTAAGATTTCTCTACAAATCTTGAATTATAAAGTAATTTACGTCTATGCTTTTCTTCATGTCATGTTTTATTGAAATTTTTAAGGACGCTCGGGCTTAAACCAACTATAATATGGCCAGACTGGCCTGGTAATTCAGATCAACACTTTGAATATTCGGATTCGAGAGGGTCGTTTCGTTTACAAGAGAGAGGTGGAAGCAAACAAATTAAAATTGATTTGAATCAAAGAAAAACCGAGTGAATATAAACTCATACCTACTATATATAAACTCGATGTCTTCTGAAGTTGTCAAATCATAATCAACTTTTCTAATAAGAAAAAAAAGAAAAAAATTCATGACACATGGGACATTGCAAATCCACTACTTGCTCACTAACCAATCTAAAGAACCAATGAACCGCTAATAATTAACTTATAATATACTAATTCCTCAATAATAAACCTAAAACACCTTCGAAATCCAAAGTTATTGGATTAGTCATTTGTAGAATTTTATCAATGAATTATTCAGGGCCGGCTCAAACTTAGTGGAGACCATGTGATGTATAAAAATTGGTTTTTAATTAATATAGTCTTTTAAAACACATTTTTGAAGATAGTTAAAAAATAATGAATGAAAAAATTATGCATTCCTTCGAATTATAGGACTATTATTGTTATACCATTTAAACCCAATGTGTTTGCACGACCAGAGCACGTAACATCATTATTAGTAAATTCGAATACTGTACTTTTGTATATTAAGGTGGCCAACATACACTTGAATACTTTTTAACAGAAAAAAAAAAAAAAAAAAAACATACACTTGAATAATACATAAGGTCAACAATATTTGTACGATTTATTCCAACGTATAGTTCCATAGTTGAGTCCAACAAACCAAGTGCACACGTTTTGAATCTTAAACCAAAGAAAAGAAGTAGAAGACTAAAAAAAAAAAAAAAAAAAAAAAAAAAAAAAAAAAAAGTAGAAGACTAGTTACTTCTCCTAGGAACAGCAAGAGCCTTAAGCGGATGTTTCATGACGGTGGTGAACTCGAGCTTCTCAGTCAAGTCAACTTCATGACCTTCGACCTCTTTCCATTGGAATTCCCTCACCATATTCGCCACATAATACTCGAGATGCAGCATCGCTAGCCCAATCCCCGGACAAATCCTTCTCCCCGCTCCGAACGGCATCATCTTTATCCCTTTGCTTCCGGTTATGTCCACCGGTTCTTCTTCTCCCATAAACCTCTCTGGCTTAAACGCCATTGGTTCCTCCCACACCTTTGGATCCCTCCCTATCTCTGCTACCAAGAAGTTAATCGTTCCCTTCTTCGGTACTTTGTACCCTCCCAAGACAGTGTCTTCCGTGACACTGTGCGGGAGTACAGTGTTTCCAGGAGGGTGTCGCCGGAGACCCTCCATCACTACTGCCTTTAGATACGGCATCTTCTGCGCGTCATCTTCCTCCACTTCCTTTGCTTCTTCCCCGACTACACTTGTGATCTCCTCGTATAATTTCTCCTGGATTTCTTGATTCTTCACGAGGTTCGCCATGATCCATTGCAACGCGGTGGCCGTTGTATCAGTCCCACCAGTTAGAAACTCAGAGCACAAACTCACAATTTCATCCTCGTTCAGCTTCCTCTTCTCATCTAGAAGCTCCACATCGAGCAGAGTATCAACATATGATTGTACATACTCTTTGTTGTCTTCTTCTTCCTCTGATGATCTATTCTTCCTCTCTTCGACAATCTTTCTCCGAGCACGAATCAGCGGAATCAAAACGTCCTGCAGCTCTCTCCGCATCTGGAAAAACTCTTCCCATCTCTTTTGCAAAATCAGTTTGGTGAACTTAGGCCAATAATTGAGGATGCTAAATCTCGTAAAGCCAAGACGCTGTCGTGTCTGAACATATTTCACCTCTTTGATTTGCTTCTCATCAAGCTTATCTCCAAAACACATGAGAACAAGAAGCGCAAACATCGCATAGTACAGATGTTCAAGAACAAGGATCGGTTCTTCACTTCCATTCTTACGAAATCGGTCAAAGAGGATCTTAAGAACCCAACGCCGCGCGTGAGAATATCTCACGCGCGAGGGGTGAAGAATCTCAGAAGTGAGATTCCGGCGAAGAAGCCGCCAAGTAGCTCCATAAAAACAAGAGCTTATGGTATGTTGGTTACTCGAAACAATCTTGCTCATCGGAGCCGTTGGTGGACGATCGGCAAAAATGGCGCCGTTCAAGATGAGAGCCTGATGAGCAAGGGAACCATCGGCGACAAAGATGGCGGGGCGGGAAGTAATGCGGAGGGTGATGATAGGACCGAGACGGTGATGGACGGAACCGAGATAGTTGTTGAGTCCACCTAAGCCATGCCGGAGCCATTGGAGGGTTCCAAGGAGAAGGAAGAAGTAAGGCTCAGGTGGTAACGGAAGAGAGGAGGATTCACGGTGGCGAAAGAGGAGGAGATTGAGAAGGAGAGAGAGGAAGAGAGAGCCTAAGAGAAGTAACCATATCTCCATTTTCTTTTTGTTCTCTTTGCTGGTTTTTCTTTGCTTCTTGCTCCTTTTTATACTAGTACGTGTGTGGCTAAATTCGTGTAACAATTTATTATCAGAGCTAGCGTGTTATTCAAGCATAATTTAATTTTAAGTTTTTTTTTGTCAATTTTAATTTTATGATTAGGCAGTATTATGGCCTGACTGGTCTGGTAATTCAGATCATCACTTTGAATGTTCGGATTCGAGAGGGTCCTTCCGCTTACAAGAGAGAGTGAGAAACGAACAAATTAAAATTGATTCGAATCAAATAAAAACCGACTGAATATAAACTCAAACCTAGTAAATATAAAAGAGAAATGGTCTCCAATAGCCCTAAATGAAGTTTTTGTGACAAAAATAGAATCTCTTAGTTTATTTGACAAAAAGAGCACTCTTTTTTAAAATTTAATAAATTTAATATACCAAAAGGAAAAGAAAGCATTCCACGATCCACGATAAGGCGACAGAGACGATTTCACGTGATAGCTGCCGGCGACGGAGAGATCTGCCGGTGACGGAGAGATCTGCCGGCGACGGAGAGATCTGCCGGCGACGGAGAGATTTGCCGGCGACGGAGAATTCTTCACCTATTTTCGATCTTCAAACTGGTATAAATCGATCTCTTTCACCAATTTTTTCTTCTTCTTCTTCCCCAATCGTGTTGACGAAATTAGGCGTTTATTGTTGAATTATGGCTTTCTATTGTGGAATTAGGCAAAATGTAGGTGCGTTCATTAATTCAGCACAAAGAATTCTGATGTGTCATTGTTCATCTCTTACCTTTTTCATTGTTGGGCTTGATTGCATTAGAAATCTTAAGTAGATGAGACTTGCAATTGGAACCTATTAATAAGTAGATGCTTTACGAATTCTGATGGATCTTCTAGTTTGTTCATTGTATTTGGTTGTTGCATTCTTTAGGTATGGTGTAGGTATGGTAGAGATATACTCTGTTTGTGGGAAGTGGAAACAAAATGAAAAGCTTCAGTGGGTTTTCTTAGTAGACACAGCGAAAGGTGGATCCCTTTGTGAAGTAGATGAGAATATTTCATACAAGGGATTAGTTGAGAGTGTTATTGAAGATTTCGGACTTGAGCGTTTAGTCAAAGATATTTCGCTTAGCTATGAACTTCCCCAAAGGATGAAGTTGATGTTAGAAGATTCTCTACCAATACATATTCGGAATGATCGCCAACTTTGCACTTTCATCAAGAAGAAACAAGGAGATCCTGAAATAATTCGTTTGTGTGTAACGGTTAGTGAAAACGTATACGACTCTTTTTTGTATTAACCGTGGTCAGACTTACACTACATACTAATTCTTTACATTTGATTTTCTAGCAGGAACTTCATCGATCAACTGGAAGTGACATCTCAGTTTCTGTGCCACCAAGTGATACATGTTCAATGGCTGAAAAAGGACAGGGCAATGATTCATTATTTTTGCCTCTTGCTCGAGATTCTGCTGTGATTCCTATAGGGAAGTTCACATTCAACGGCTGCACAAGAAAACCAGAAGGTAAAAACTCAATTTCATAGGTTTTAGGAAGGATACATTTAGTTTTAGGATGACCTTCCTAAATACTGCAATATACAGATTTGATCGGAACTAGTCATCTTTCTTTTTTAATTTGAACTGTTTGTTCATATGCCTATCTCTTTTTGTGTTTGTAGAAACCTCATCCTTTAGTTGGAACTTCTTCTATCTCTGCTGCACATGAAAACCAAAAGGTAAAAACTCAATTTCATAGGTTTTAGGAAGGATACATTTAGTTTTAGGATGACCTTCCTAAATACTGCAATATACATATATGATCCGTTTCTAGTCGTCTTTTTTTTTTAAATTTGAACTCTTTTTCATATGCCTATCTATTTTTGTGTTTGTAGGAACCTCATCCTTCAGTTGGAACTTCTTTTATCTCTGCTGCACATGAAAACCAGAAGGTAAAAACTCAATTTCATAGATTTTAGGAAGGATACATTAAGTTTTAGGATGACCTTCCTAAATACTACAATATATATATATATGATCCGTTTCTAGTCGTATTTTTTTCAATTTTAACTCTTTGTTCATATGCATATCTACTTTTGTGTTTGTAGGAACCTCATCCATCAGTCGGAACTTCTTCCATCTCTGTGCCATATAGTGATACATGTTCAACGGCTGAAAAAGGAAGAGGCAATAAGTCATTGGATTTGCTTCCTGCTCCAGATCGTAGTCCGATTCCTATAGGCGGTGTACATTCAACACGAGGTGCTGATGACATATATGTTAATAAATATTTCATCAACAAGGCTGAGTTAATGCAGAAGATGAGGACATGGGCGTTAGAGTATAAGTTTGAGTTTAGGTCTCGATGGTCTAACAAAGATAGAGTGGTTTTGGTATGTGTAGATGATAAATGTACTTGGAGGATGCGTGCAATGAGGGTAGTCTCTTATGATTTCTTTGTGGTGAAGAAATATTGCCATGAGCACACATGTGACACTACACACAGAAATGCAAATCATAGGCAAGCTACTGCGAAGTTGCTAGGGACTTTTTACTGTAGCCACTATGGAGAAAAGAAAGAAGGATTAAGACCAAAACAGTTGATGGAGCTAGTCAGGAGAGATCATGGAGTACACTTACCGTATAAAAAAGCTTGGAGGACAAAAGAGGAAGCTCAGATTTTGGTTAGAGGTACTCTTGAGGATAGTTATTTCAATTTAGTGAAATGGTTGTTCATGGCAAAGGAAAAAAATCCTGGAAAAGTTGCTTACCTTGAGATGGATCCTAAGGGGAAATTCAAATTTGTCTTCATTGCATTTGGCCCATCGATTAGAGGTTTTGCTTTGATGAGAAGAGTCGTTGTTGTAGATGGTACATTCTTGAAAGGAAAGTTTAAGGGAACTTTGCTAGCAGCTACTACACATGATGAAGATTATCACTTATACCCGATAGCATTTGCGATTGTTGATTCAGAAAATGAAGCGTCTTGGAGTTGGTTCTTTAGATGTTTGCTTAGTATCATCCCTAATGCAGCTGATTTGGTATTTGTTTCTGATCGTGCTCCAACCATTACAAATGCACTTTCAGAGTTGTATCCGCTTTCCCATCATGGAATCTGCACGTATCATCTCGGGAACAACATCAAAACAAAGTTTGGTAGTCAAAGCTTTTTGCCACTTGTTCAAGCTGCAGCAAAGGCCTATACTTATCAAGCATTTGTAGAGGTTTTCAACGATATACAAATTTCTAATTCAGATTTGGCTGCATATTTAGAAGAGGCTGATTTGAAGAAGTGGGCTCGATGTTTTGCTCCGTCACACCGCTACAATATAATGACAACAAATATTGCAGAATCGTTGAATTCTATGTTAAAAGAACCTCGGGAGCTTCCAGTGCTTTCTCTTCTTGAGACTATCAGGTTAACCTTAACCACCTGGTTTCATGAACGTCGGGAAAAAGCTGCAAAACACAACAAGCGCCTTACACCTATTGTTACAAAGGAGATGGTCTTAAGGTTCAGCGAGGCAATGAAACTTGACGTTTTCTAGGTTGATCAATTTGAGTTTGAAGTCAAAGACAAACACAATAAGTTTGTTGTCCATCTAAGGGATAAAAATTGCACTTGCTGCGTTTTTGACATCGACAAAATCCCTTGCATTCATGCAATTGCTGCTTCGAAGCGTACAAACATGGATGAAAACAAACTAGCAGATGATTTCAACTTGACAGATACATGGGCTAAAGCATATGCTGAGAGCATACATCCGAGTGGAGATGCAAAGAATTGGTTTTTTCCTGATTCTATAATGGTTTTTCTGTGCACCTCCAGAAACTAAGGTAAGCAGTGGTAGACCGCCGAAGAAGAGATTTCGATCTGCTAGAGAGTTTGGTGTACCAGGTTCAAAATCTCAGAGACACAAGTGTGGTAGATGTGGTAAAGAAGGTCATAATAAGACTACGTGTAGATCCAAAATATGATAAATTTATCAACTGAATTGTCTTTATCCCTTCTGTGTTTGTCCAGAAAAACATTAAAGACGTAATCTTCAAATTTATTTTAGGACTTCTTTTCAGTATTTTAGGAAGGCCTTCCCGAAACTACGATTTTCAGGCATTCGATTTTTGTTTGATCCTCTAATAATTCGAATGATATCTTCATATGTAGTAGTGATGTTATTTGTTTGAAATAAAAGCTATGACCTACTGTTTACACAATTTCTGAGGGCCAATGATCTATAAAATCTCTTTTTATGTCATGATGTGTTTCGTGTTTCATAGAAATATACACGTTCGTTTGTACCAGACTTTACAATTAGAAGTTGGCTCACTGGTTACATGTTCTATTACAAATACAATAGGTCCCGGTTTCGAATCCTAGTGGATGTAACTATTACAGTTTTTTATTTTAGGGAAGGCCTTCCTGAATATTTGGGAATCCTTCCTGAATTTCAAAAATTGTTTACTTTTGCATAGTTTGCCTCATATTAATCACAATTTACATATATTTTGAGGATCGATGATCTATAAAATCTCTTTTTATGTCATGATATGTTCTGTGTTTCATAGAAATATATACGTTCGTTTGTACAATATTTACAATTAGAAGCTTGGCTCACTGGTGACATGTTCAATTACAAATAAAATACGCCCTGGTTTCGAATCCTGCTGGAAGTAACTATTACAATTTTTTTTTAAGGAAGGCCTTCCTGAATTTGTATATATCCTTCTTGAATATTTGGGAACCCTTCCTAAATTTCAAAAAATAGTTAATATGCAAAGGATATGCTGAGAGCATACAACTGCGTCGATAACCTGTAGGAAACAAATGGTATCTAACAAAGTACCATACATTGAATATCTCAAAAAAACATAAATAAAAACATATGACACTTTTCTAGTTTAGAACCATCATAGAAGTACCAAAACAGTCTAAAACGGTTTCACAAGCATCATACATCCAATAGAGAACCATCATAGAAGTACCAAAACAGTCTAAAACTGTTTCACAATCTTAACACACTCATTGAAGATATCCACAGCCAGCTTGTTTCTGATGTCTTCTGAATCTATATCACGCAGCATGGAGAAATCTTCAATCTTCATCGAGTGGCATTAAATCATCTTCAGAAGAAAAAGAGTACAGTTTGCATCGACCTTTGTGTGAATAATGTTCTTCTTCGGAATGGTTACCTGATATGAAGTGGAACTGTTTAAGATGGCAGGAATCAACTCTGCAAAACATTCAAAATATCAGTCAAACTCATAGATTTTACTGTAATTGAAAGAATTATAGGAATTGTACCTGTTAGTGGAGTCACGTGGGTTGATACGTCTTTCGGTGTAATTTTTTATAAACTATTTTTTCAGTTTTAGTTACTAAAATGTAACTAAATCAAATTGTAACCATTTAACTGAACCGTTGCAACATTTAGTTTATTTGACAAATTATTGCAACTTTTGGTTTTGTTTTATGTTGTAATCTTTAGTTTATTTGACGAACCGTTACAATATTTTGTATATTTGACAAATGATTCCTATTTTTACTATATATATGATATCTATGGTCGCGTCTTTCAGTTATAGTTATTCATCAAAATTTTAAATGAAAATGTTGCTACTGTTTAATAGAATATAGTAACATTTGGTTTATTTGACGAACCAATGAACATTTTGGCTTATCTGTTCAACCGTTGTAACCTTTGGTTTATTTGATGAACCGTTACAATATTTGATATATTTGATGAACCATTGCAACTTTAGTTTATTTGATGAATTATTACAACTTTAGGTATATTTGATGAATCATTGCAACATTGCTTTTTGTGATATATTTTTTAGAGCATTACTAAAGCGCAATTTTTTTTGAACAAAGCATTAACCAAAGTTATATTTTTTTCATTTAGAGTATTATCTTGTCACCATGTTTTATTCGTGTTTTTTTATCACAAACACTTGGTTTAAATAATTGTGTCTTTTACAAACAATTTTTTCTATTAAACTTTTATGTCTTTGTAACTCTATATATACATATAGTATATATATATATTTTAAAAAGTGGTGTAAATTTATTATTTCTTTTTGTTTGATATTTTTCATAGAAAGTTACATTTTTGCTATTTAGCATTCATGTATATATATATATATTTTATTATCTATATCATTATTATTTTTTCCTAAATAATTATCTATTTTGGTTATTTGATAAATGTTTCTGAAGGGTGTCTCTTTTTAACATAATACGATTAAAAATAGGGAGAGTTACTCAAAAGGCTTAGTGAAGAGGAAAAATAACTAAAATGACATGGTTTTGGAGCAATAGTAATATCTTTTTTTAAAGGCAATCTTGGCTTCAAGTATGTGTCAGGCGAGAAAAAAATAACGGAAATGCCATTATAATTAATTACGATATGCCATGAAAAAGGCGGGAGTTGGCAAAAAGCAAGCGGCGGGAAAAAGGGAGGATATTTTGGATGTGGCGACAGATTTATGGAGGTGACAGATTTGCATGGTAGTTTTAATAAACTATGACAGAGTTGTCAGATATGTTAGATAAATATATGTTTCAGACACAGTAGATTGAAGTAAAATTGATAGATTTTTGTAGTTTTGGTTGAGTTATTTGGTAGAGTTGTTTACAGTGGTGACATAGTAATATGTAAAATAGATTTTTTTGGCAGACTAACATGAAGTTATGACAGAGTAATTGAGGTAATAGATTAGTTTGGTAAAGTTAACAAAGGTTATGATAGAGTTGTTAAGAAAAACAGAGTAATGTGTTAGAGTTTGAAAATAGAAACAAAGTCTGTGACTAGTGAAAGTAGAGTAATTGATTATGATAGATTTATTATATAATCGGACAGACTTATCAAACAAATTAATTACTAGCGTGTCACAGTGTGTCAGAATAATGGTGGAAGACTTTATGTATGTGACGATAGAGTTGTGGGTTTACGACTGATTGGTGACAGAGTTAGCGAGACAATGTGGGGGGTAGACTTAAAACCGTTAAAACCACAATCCTTAAAAAAAGTTTTTTGAGATAGACGTGATAGATTTATTTTGATAGAGTTGTGTATGATGTTATATCTGTCACAGCGTAAAAATTGGCAATTCCAAAAATACCCTCCCACTTTAACCGTAATTACAATTTTAATGTACACGCATCTTCTTCGTTGTTTGTAGGTTAAACACTTTGTCGGTGGTTCCGAATCTGAGCACATCGACAAAAGGCGATGGAAGACATTCAACTAGTTTGCGGTTTCTGGAAATGTGAGAAATCAAGATGGGATTTCGGCGTTGATGAAGAAAGAGGAAGTAGAATGTTACCTTCTAGTGTTGGTAGTAGTTTGAAGCTTTTAATGTCATGGTGTATGAAGATTTTGGTTTCGATTCAAAGACTGAGTCAATAAAGCTCAGTTATATGTTACCTATGAAGTCCAAAAGTTATGCAGATACGCCACCTGTGTGTGTAACGAATGGCCGTCAATTCGAGGCATATCTCCGGCAGTGTTCAAAAGAATCAGTGAGGCTATGTGTCAAAATAATTGGTGGTGGTAACTGTCGAGAAAAGAAAGACAGGAAAAGAAAGGGCAAATGTGAGGAGAGTAGAGAAGTGAATGTGGAAACAGTTCTTGAAGACGAGGATTACTACAACCGGAAGAGGGACGGAAAAAAACCTGTAGGAGATTTGTTCAATCGAAAGTTTGCCTCAACACAACATTCTGTGGATGAAGAAGACGAGGTTGAATCAATCATTTCTGAAGCAATTCGCGAAGATTTGGAGGATGATGATGAATTTCCCAGATCTGATTATTGTGATGATGAAGACGGAGCGAGCTCAGGAGATGAATACTATGGATTAAATTCACGAGACGAGGAAGAGGAGGAAGATGTAGCTGATAGAGATGAAGTGAAGAGTAATGCAAAAATTGAGGAATCTCAGAGGAATTGCAAAAGAAATAAAAAAATTCTCTTTATCATCAGGTAACTCTTCGAATGCGAAGTCTTATCTAAAATTGGAAATGTGTGGTGTGGATCTAGCTACTGGCCAACGGTATGAGTCCAAGGATGCACTAGAGGAAAGATTGAAGATTCTTAGTGTAATCCAAAAGTTCGACTTCGATGTTGATAGATCGAAGCCAGACTTGTATACTGTTAATTGTTGGGTACCCGGCTCCAGGTGGAGAGTACGAGCTTCACCCATAGGAGATTCATCTGTTTTTAATATTCGCATATACAATCGTACCCATACATGTTCAGTCATAGAACGGTCGGCACGTGGTCGGCAAGCTACTCCTGCAATACTAGGGCAGCTTTACAAGGAATTTGTTGGTGGTGTTGGTGAATCCGTATTGCCATGTCATGTGGCGGAAGCACTTAACCTAAGATATGGAATAAAGGTATGTTAGATAATGAAAAAACATAGATGAGTATTGAATATCATTCACTATTGGAGGTATGATATTAACAAAATGTTTACTCTATATAGGTTGACTATTGGAAGGCACATCGTACACTCCTATTTGCCCGGACTTTGGTGAGAGGAACTTCAGAAAATGGATATGAAGATCTTCCATCATACTTATACTTGATAAGGAAAGCAAATCTAGGAACTCTAACTAGACTTGCAATTGATGAAGAAGATAGATTTAAGTTTGTCTTCATTGCATTTGGCGCAAGCATTCATGGATTTCAGTTTATGAGAAAAGTTGTAGTTGTGGATGGAACATTTCTGAAAGGGTGATATCTAGGTACGCTTCTACTAGCCACAACACAAGATGGGAATTTCAATATTTTTCCCTTAGCATATGCGGTAGTTGACACCGAGAATGATGTGTCGTGGGAATGGTTCTTTAGACAACTTAGTTGTGTTATTCCTGATGACGAAAGCCTGTTTATTATATTAGATAGACATAAATCAATAGGTAAAGCAATAGGTCGTGTATACCCGCGGGCTAGTCGGGGTGTGTGTACTTACCATCTTCACAAGAATATATTGTTAAAATTTAGAGGTAGTGAGACATATGGACTAGTGAAAAAGGCTGCAAGTGCTTACCGTCTCGTATATTTTAATGTTTACTTCAATCAGATTAAAGATATGAATCCCGATTTACATAGCTATTTGGTAAGGGCTGACGTACGTTTCTGGAGTCGGGTACACTTTCCGGGCGATAGGTACAACTTCACAACTAGCAACATTGCAGAGTCTCTAAATAAAGTCTTAACTGGTGCCAGAAAGTACCCAATCGTGATGCTACTTGATGAAGTGAGGTTGATGCTGACACGTTGGTATGCTAAAAGGCGGAAAGAAGCGATGTTGATGACAACAACCCTAACAAAAGGTTTAGAAAAACATCTACATGTAAGTCATTTGTGATTTGGATCTATATACTGGTAGTACGTTGAACTCACTACTAACAATATACTCTTCTCTTTATAGGACCGTATTATTAAGGCAAAGTATCTGGCTGTACAAGAGATCGATAGGCATCAATATGAAGTGACCAATGGAGTGTCGACAAACGTGGTGAATTTGACTGCGAAAAAGTGTTCATGTATGATGTTTGATTTAGACAAAATAGCATGCGTTCATGCTATTGCTGCAGCAGAGCATGCTAAAGTTTATAGGATTGCACTCAACGACAAAAACTACTTGATAGATTTTCTTCGGATCGGTTATGCAATATCCATAATGCCCAAGGATGGTTCATCACCTATCCCACAGAGAATCGGTTCGACAGTATGTAAGCCTCCATTCGTTAGGATCCCACCTGGAAGGCCAAAGATTACAAGAATAAAAGGGCAAACGGAGATAGCTATTGATCGAAGCCGACCAAGGAAAGTTCACGTTTGCTCGAAATGTCATTTAGCTGGTCATAATCGAACGACATGTACTTCATAACATGTTTTTGTGTTTCAGTACTTCTTAACATGTTTTTGTTATAAATTACATTTGTCCTACTCTGTTATGTCTTACACTACTAATGACTTAAAATCTTCTTCCTGCTATACATTTCTTATATGTCATCTGACTAATATATCAACATAGACAATCATATAGAATCGAACAAGAACGTAGGAAGAAATTTTACTTAGGAAGAAAGTAGACAACTAATATATAAACATAGACAATCATATAGAATCGAACAAGAACAAGCGTTCATCACATAACAGAGTTTGGAGACAACAAAAGCGAACAAGAACGTTGGAAGAAAGGTTACTTAATTTAACACATTTCATGGAAAGTGGTGGCGTAACTAAACGCAAAACAATGGTGACAAATGGCAGTAGTCGAGTTTGTGTGTGCGAAGTAGCAAATTGGATACTCTTTGAAATGAATATAACCAGAAAACACATTGCGACCGCCTGGTCCGATATGACGTATTTGGTCTTCTACTACACCGGCAACGGCGATTGCCTCTTCCAATGTTTGAATCCTACTAAAGAAAGTGCGGGTAACAACCATACCTTGCTCATAAGAACCACAATAGAGGAGCATAACTGCAAATGCAAATGTAACATAGATGGAAGAGTATCCAACTTCTCCAAGCATCTCTAATGTTTCCACAGACGGTCCGTCTTGCGTCAAACGGCGAAGTGCTTTTACATATCTTGCAACCTCATTCCCTTCTGCTGCGCATCTCAAAAGAAACGGTCGGTAGACGGAATCTTCCCTACCGAGCCTTGAGTTGAACAAGAACTCATCCAGATCGATGTCTAGCAAAACATCACGGCGGAAGACGATTTCTTGAAAGAATGGGCTGGCTGCGATCAGAGGACCAAGATTCCGGAATCCATCACTCCCAACTCGATGGACTATGTCTGTCATTACTGCTGTTGGAATATAGGTCATAGTTGAATAGGTTCTTGCAGCTGGAAAGTGGAGGAGACGATGATAAAAACAGAGATAAGAGTATAAAACCCTAGATATGCGACATTTTCCTTCAATCCCAACATGTTTTGTTTTACCAGGCCCATCCAACAAATAGTCAATACAATGGGCCATGGGTTTGCATTACTATTAGGTTGGCCCACCAACCAAAATTTAGAGAACTTGGTGTACTTATGTGTGGATGTATTTAAGTACTGCATTATATCCCCCTATTACCAGAGTCCCAGAAAAAACATAAGGTCAGCCGGAGTATTTAATTTCGACACACACCATGGATCCCATCACTTACACGCCGACTTCACCGCCACCGCCTTTGCCAGAATATTACTCCTCCGATCTTGGATCCCCGGTTGGTATACCTTACCCGGGATCGCCTAACCCTCATTCACCTAGGCGTCTCAGTTCTTGGATTGATAATTCACAGCAGGAAAAACCAAAAGCTCTGTATCGACATGTTGAGTACGGTGCGGTTGTTCCATACTCCCCCTGGGATAATCTCACAGTTCCTGCGAGTGGACTGGATTTCGTGCCGGAGGGAAAAGGATTTGTACCCGGAACCGTTATTTTTCCGGAAACCTTCTTTTTATCTTGCCCAGGAACATGTCTCGCGAAATGTCAAACATGGGTTGCTCTGGTCAGTTTTAGAATCCAAAAAACTGAGTTTTTAAATATTATTACTCAATTTGTTTTTATAAATTCTTTACTTTACATTGTAGTTAGAGGCACAACATGCGGCCTATGCAAATCATCACTCTGAACTAGTGTTCAAGATGCAAGAGATGGAAAGAGCAATGAGGCGTTTGGAATCTCTCCCGAAAGATTGGCTGAACTTTGAGCTATACAAACTTGGGGAGATGTCACCTCCGCTTAGGGCTTACTGTGCCTTTCATGATGGTAGTACCTGCAATTTTGAGTTGGATCTTCCAGGAATCGATCCAAACATCCGGAAAACTATGATGCTGAGGTTGAGGGTGGTACTGGTGATGTTTAAAATCTTGTTGGCTTAAGGATGCCGAAGCTTAATCTACTCATAAGCTAATGTTTTAGACACATGTGTTTGTTTAATGTGTTCTTCAACTGTCAACGCATTTCTTTATGACAATTTCCTCTGTTCGAAATCTATAAATCCTTTCTTTGAATTTATAGATTTTAGACACATGTATTATCTTAGATTGATAATTCACAGCAGGAAAAACCAAAAGCTCTGTATCGACATGTTGAGTACGGTGCGGTTGTTCCATACTCCCCCTGGGATAATCTCACAGTTCCTGCGAGTGGACTGGATTTCGTGCCGGAGGGAAAAGGATTTGTACCCGGAACCGTTATTTTTCCGGAAACCTTCTTTTTATCTTGCCCAGGAACATGTCTCGCGAAATGTCAAACATGGGTTGCTCTGGTCAGTTTTAGAATCCAAAAAACTGAGTTTTTAAATATTATTACTCAATTTGATTTTATAAATTCTTTACTTTACATTGTAGTTAGAGGCACAACATGCGGCCTATGCAAATCATCACTCTGAACTAGTGTTCAAGATGCAAGAGATGGAAAGAGCAATGAGGCGTTTGGAATCTCTCCCGAAAGATTGGCTGAACTTTGAGCTATACAAACTTGGGGAGATGTCACCTCCGCTTAGGGCTTACTGTGCCTTTCATGATGGTAGTAGCTGCAATTTTGAGTTGGATCTTCCAGGAATCGATCCAAACATCCGGAAAACTATGATGCTGAGGTTGAGGGTGGTACTGGTGATGTTTAAAATCTTGTTGGCTTAAGGATGCCGAAGCTTAATCTACTCATAAGCTAATGTTTTAGACACATGTGTTTGTTTAATGTGTTCTTCAACAGTCAACGCATTTCTTTATGACAATTTCCTCTGTTCAAAATCTATAAATCCTTTCTTATTTATTCCACAACAAATCAGTCGTAGTAAACTATAGATGGAATATGATTGCTCGAGTAATTACCCGATACACTTAACCGCAAGGCAGTATATACGGGGTCGATCCACAAGAACCAATGGTACACTAAAGATTTCCGAGACTCGTTCTTAGCTAAAGCGGAAAGGTTGTTTTGTTTGGGTTTTCAGTTTGTAAAATAAAATGCAAATAAATTAAACGATTTAACTATCAAGATTTAAAGACATTGGGCTATAGGGAATTTCAGAGATCAATGAATAATGGAAACATGAGACAAGGAATTCAACAATTAAGTACCGTTCTTGAACATGAACACATTTAGACTAATTCTCTTTCAAGACATTAATCACTAAATTTGACTACTCGATTACTAAACTTTCGCATGTAATTTCCTAGTCAAATTCGCATTACCAAACAAGTTCATTAAGTTCACAATGCGTCCTAACGTCAACTTTCGTTGGCTAGAAATACATTGCTCAATCCACATTCTTTCAGGCATTCTATCGAACACTTTTGATGCATAGAAAAACCTAGAATCTACAACAGGGTGATCAATCCTATTCTAGCATTAAGAACATGTGAATCAAAGAACCTAGAGAATGAGAATTCCTAATACAATCAATCCACTAATCCATTGAATCTCCTAATTAGAACCCTAAAACCCAATTAGAGAACTACTCACACATAGCAATGAAAACAACGCAAATAGATAAAGAAGAAAACATAGTTGAATTGAATAAATGAGATAAAGGTTTAGAAATCTTCTCCAAATTGTCAAGAAGGAATGAATCTCTAATCCAAAGGGGAGTAGCTTACAAAAGAGCTCTCAGAAAAATTGCAGAAAAAAAACGTGCCAAGAAAATTAGGTTTCTGGGGTTTTTATACCCAAGTACAGAAAATAGAAGATAAATCCGGTTAAGGAAAACCAAAACCGGGCGTCAGGAAATCAGACCGATCGGTCCAGAGGAGGACCGATCGGTCCAACCAAGTCTGTTCGCCGTCGAAGCTCCGGACCGATCGGTCTAGTGGAGGACCGATCGGTCTAACCCTCTCTGGTCCGCCGTCGAGCTCCGGACCGATCGGTCTTCTCCTGGACCGATCGGTCTAACCTTCTCTGGTTCCAAACTCTGCACCTGCTTCAAATGCTCGCCAGAATGACCTGTCTTCACTAAATCGGGTATAACTCCTGAATGCACCGTTAGATTTCCTTCAAATCACTTGGAAAATCAAGCTAACATCTTCATCAAGCTTGTGCCAAAACTTTAGAAAGATCTAACGGTGGGAAGTCTTCCATCTGAGGCCAAACGTCTGATAATTCTAAACGAAACTGCATCTCCAAATGTGTGTTTTATCCCAAAACAGCTCGTTTCCCTCCGAACCAACCTAAAACCTGTAAAGACTCGATAACGGACTAAAAGAATCTAAAAACACACTTTGACTCTATAAAATATATGATCTAGAAAAGAAAACAAATACTCAAAACCGATAAAAACACAACATATCAACTCCCCCCGACTTAGATCTTTGCTTGTCCTCAAGGAAAGCAGAAATCCTTATCAAGAGAAGAGGTTTGAAAACACGAGAACTCACATTTTCTTCGGGATCATGCTCTTATCAATTGCCTGCAAACCACTATCACAAAACTCATCAAACCGTACTAGACTGTACTTCGCCATAACCGTAGCAACAAAATTAAGTCCCGAGATCTAAAAGAACTTTCAGAGTCAGATAACTTAACCATTTAACATTCATTAACAAAGGCGTGTACTCTCACTAAGGGGATATCAAACACATTATGGGCTAGGTGAAAGGGCTATTATTTGGTGACTCAAGTGTTTCGGGTTCTCAAATAGTGTAAAACGGATGCATGTCATTATGCGAAATCACAGTGAGACACAGACCAACTAGGAGGTACATAGCTTCCCTTAAGCTCGGATCAAACTAACCAACACATTATCCCAATCAAATCAATGAGTACCCTTGATGCTTAACAATATAACTAATAATAACTCGACATTTCCGGTTCCAATCACTCTCCTTTCCCGTTCCTTCTTTTTATTTTCGTTTTTTTTTTTTTTTTTTTTTTTTAATAATGAAACGGGGGAGTGGAAACGGTGTCTCGCAAAAATATGCATCAAGAAAAACCGCAAACAGTAGCATATGCCCATGAATATAACCTCTAAACCACAATGGCTCAATCTCATCACATATCAACAACCAGTAAACTACAACTCACTATCCTAACAGAAGGAAAGCTATGTCGGTCCGTATACTCCGTAGTTTTCGCACATGAATGCATATCATGATGATCATATAAGAATGCATGAGGTTTCAAACAATGTGTGGGGGAACATGTGCGGTACTAGACTAAAAATGAGTCTAGCCATTCAGAGTTAGCAAAGAGTGGTATAAATGATGTGAATAAAACTCTGAATGTATGATCCATTACATGATTCTCAAGCCCCTAAGTGAGATAAATTAAGTCCAGATTAAGTTCAAGTATATAAGATTAGGCTCAATTCATCCGAATTTCAAAGAGATAGGGACTACTATAAAGCGATCTAGTGATGGATTTTCCTGAACTTCCAAGTTATCGAATAAAGCTAAAATGGTCCCAAGACAATGAAATCAAGCAAGGTGCAATTCCCTAAGAAAAGATCATGGTTCTCAACCAACATTTTGACTCAATAAAAGACACGATAAAACAAACTTGACGACACAAAAGAAAACATCAAAAGAAACAACCAAAGCAAACTCGATTAGTAGACAAATGACAACCTCCCCCCGACTTGCTTCACACCGACTCGGTGTGAAAACAATTCAAAGAAAAGATGCCATACACACTCAAAAGAAAGCAAAAGGAAAATAAATAAAAGGTAGGAAAATCAGAAATACCTGGTGGGTTACCTCCCACAAAGCGCTTGTTTTAGGTCGTAAGCTTGACCACTCAACACAAAATATTAATCATAAGAATCAAAAGGTTGTGCCAGTGGACCTTTTGTCCTTCTCCTGTTAGTGAAAGAAATGAGATGTGCCAAGTAACACACAATTATCCATGGTAAAGAGATAAAATTCACATCAAGAAAAATTACTACAAATGCAGCATATACTTTGAAATATTCCTTGATGGTTGAATGCTCATGAGGATGAAATGCATTTGGAGGAAAAATAAAGTCAATTTCCTGGTTACAAGAGGTTTGAACAAAATAATCAACTTCATCGCCATTAATCTCATATAGCACAATATCTCCATCCATATAATCAACCTCAGGATTTTCATTCTCATGCAAAATCTTATCAATATCAAGCACAACTCCTAGGAAAGATTCATCAAGAAGAGAACTAGATATTTCAGGCATTGAAAACTTAAACTCGAGATCATGAACATTCAAAGCACAATGATATTCAATATCAAAACATATATCATGGTAATCCCTAGCAAGTTTTGCTGCTCTTAAAGTATCTAGTTGTTGAGACTCACATATCAAATTGTAACATTCATCAATGATTATGGGAGTATGCAAACTAGAAGTCACATCTTCAATACATGGCATATGAATGTCCTCAACATCATGAATTTCAAGGGTTGAAACGCATGTACCTTCTAGTTCGCTTGGTGGAACCCAATATATTACCTTTTCAAGCGCATGAGCTTCTTGTTCTTCATAGAATGTGACTTCTCTTCCTTCACACGCTGCCCGGTGTGATAAGAGGTTCAACCGGATCAAAATCGCTAAATCACTCCTTACCAATGTCGGATGTTCGTTGTGAAATTCATCCAACTTCACTTTTTGTTCCGGTGTAAGAACACTCTCATCAAACGGTGGCTCCACATATGTCTCATCATCTTCTTCTTGCGGCCAATCATTGTATTCCATGGCATTAAAAAAAAAACAAATGAAAGTTAGCAATGAATAAAAAAATGCTTTAGACTAAAAACTAATCCTAAATCCTTAGGTAACGCAATTGGTCCCCGGCAACGGCGCCAACTTGATTGCTCGAGTAATTACCCGATACACTTAACCGCAAGGCAGTATATACGGGGTCGATCCACAAGAACCAATGGTACACTAAAGATTTCCGAGACTCGTTCTTAGCTAAAGCGGAAAGGTTGTTTTGTTTGGGTTTTCAGTTTGTAAAATAAAATGCAAATAAATTAAACGATTTAACTATCAAGATTTAAAGACATTGGGCTATAGGGAATTTCAGAGATCAATGAATAATGGAAACATGAGACAAGGAATTCAACAATTAAGTACCGTTCTTGAACATGAACACATTTAGACTAATTCTCTTTCAAGACATTAATCACTAAATTTGACTACTCGATTACTAAACTTTCGCATGTAATTTCCTAGTCAAATTCGCATTACCAAACAAGTTCATTAAGTTCACAATGCGTCCTAACGTCAACTTTCGTTGGCTAGAAATACATTGCTCAATCCACATTCTTTCAGGCATTCTATCGAACACTTTTGATGCATAGAAAAACCTAGAATCTACAACAGGGTGATCAATCCTATTCTAGCATTAAGAACATGTGAATCAAAGAACCTAGAGAATGAGAATTCCTAATACAATCAATCCACTAATCCATTGAATCTCCTAATTAGAACCCTAAAACCCAATTAGAGAACTACTCACACATAGCAATGAAAACAACGCAAATAGATAAAGAAGAAAACATAGTTGAATTGAATAAATGAGATAAAGGTTTAGAAATCTTCTCCAAATTGTCAAGAAGGAATGAATCTCTAATCCAAAGGGGAGTAGCTTACAAAAGAGCTCTCAGAAAAATTGCAGAAAAAAAACGTGCCAAGAAAATTAGGTTTCTGGGGTTTTTATACCCAAGTACAGAAAATAGAAGATAAATCCGGTTAAGGAAAACCAAAACCGGGCGTCAGGAAATCAGACCGATCGGTCCAGAGGAGGACCGATCGGTCCAACCAAGTCTGTTCGCCGTCGAAGCTCCGGACCGATCGGTCTAGT